GCAGGGGAGGGGGGGATATCGGGGGTGGGGGTGGGGTGGGGGTGTGAGTCTAAGAAGGAAACCTGAGAGGCCCCCTGGATGGCCCCAGACCTGTCTTGTAATCATCCTGGTCTCCACGTCTTCTTCTGCCAAGACCAGGTGTTCTGCTCCAACTGACTGGGTCCCAATCCCAACCTTTACTCACTTAGATCCTCAAACACCAGGACACTGGGTCTTTGGCGATTCCGTTTCCCTGATTGGTCAGTAGTTGGTTCCTCTGGCAGAGCTTCCTAGTACAGCAGAGCTGGAAGAGCATTTGACACAACCTCGAAAAGCACATAAACAGAGGTTTATCAAATGGCTGAGCAAATCAGTGTCAGAGCCTAGAATAAAACTCCTGAGGGCTCTAAAATCCTACACAAGGGTCTTTCCACTGCTACAGTCTACCAAGCTCTTAAAATGGTTTACATACAACTTTATCTTCATTACCAAAATGTCCAGTTTCAGTCTTGCTGAAGACAGGCTGCATCAAACCATTTTCTGGGTCTCCAGTCTCATTCACCCAGTGACGCTTTATGCCTCAGGTTGATTTGTTTTGTCTCTCCCCTTCTGCACCTTTCTGGATAATGTTGAAAAGGAGCCAAAGGACTCATTCCTGCATCAGCCCCAGTGGGCTGGATTTGAAATGGTGACAGCATTGGAACCAGGGAGTACCAGGGTTCACAAAGGTTAATTTCAGTGGTAGCCTGCTGGTTGCTCCAGGATGGGAGGAAGGGTGGGGTTGGGAGTGTAGGGAAGCCTTTCTTCTAAAAGGTAACCTTACCTCTTGGTCCTGACCCACCTCCCTTGGGGATGGGACTGGGAGAGGGAGGAGGGATTCTGCATGGGGTGTTCATGTTCCTCCAAAGCAGCACTGGTCCTGCATTACTTGAAATCCAAACTGATCTTGAATGCTAAGCCTTTAATAAACATCACATGTCACCCTTTTTCAAATTGCCTTCTTTCTGCACCCAGAAATTGCTACGCTTTGCTATAGGCTTTTATTTCTAGCAGGACTATCAGAAATCAGAAAAATTGGAAGTATGGAAATCTTTTAGGAAATTCGGATTCTCACTTTCTTGGTTTCTGAGAATCAAAGCGTTGCCATCTATCTAGTAAAGGGGAGTGAGATTCAAAACCAGTGATATTGCAGAGGGCATCCAATCAGGAAGTAACCAGATGTTCACAGAATGTCTTGCCATCGACGTTGAGCCTCCCTGTATTAGTTTTCTATTGATACTGTTATGAATTAGCACAAACTTCATGACTTAAAAACAGCACATATGTATTAAGTAAGTGTTCTATAGATTAGAAGTCTCACACTAGTCTCAAAGGGATAAAATTGTGTCAGCAGGGCTGTTTCCCTTTGGGGAAGGTCTAGGGGAGACTGTTTCCTTGCCTGGTTCAGCATGTAGAGGCTGCCTTCACTCTTTGGCTCATGGCCTTTTCCCTATTTTCAAAGCCACCAAAGGCAGGCTGAGTCTCCTCTCCTGCCTCTCTTCCACTTTTAGGGGCCTCTGTAATTACATCAGACCCACCCCAATAGTCCAGGATGAACTCCCTTCTTAAGGTCATTAACTTAATCACATCTGCAAAGTCTTTCTCCCAGATAAAGTAACATACTTATAGGTTCCGGGGATTAGGGCATGGACATCTTTGGGGGGAGGGAGCATGATTCTGTCCACCATATCCCTCTGACACAGGATTCCATGTGAGAAGGAAGGAATCATGCATATTTACTAAAAGAACACAACCGTGGCATTAGTAAGGACACCATTTGGGTGTTAGTGAAATCATTGTCAAATATGGGCTCACCATGTATTTATCCTTTTACTCCAGTTATGCAGAAATACCTATATCTATGTCCATGGAGGATTTTCAGTATGATTCTTCTTCCTTGTTCCTGATGCATGGTAATCAAGGGATGAAATGAAATTCTGGGGGTTTTTTGTGTTTGTTTTTTAAAAGACTTAATTCCTTTCGACTTAACTAAATACATGACATACAGCATATTTCAGGGTGGTGACTCAGAGACAAAAAGCAGGATGTTTACTAGGTACATGAGATAATGTTGATTTTTTTGTGGTGGAAAATACTGCCTCAGAAAGAGGAAGCCATGCAGTGAAAGGCCCCTTTAGGCTGGGAGTCAGGAAACTTGGAATCTAGTCCATGATCTGCTGTTTTCTGACTCCTACACCTCCCTGAACCTCAGTCGTCTCACCTGTAAAATGGGTATAAAAACAACTTCTGCACCTCTGAAGGTTGTTCACAGAGTTACTGTGTTGGTACAATAACTGTGATCTCTAAGATGTTATTGAAAATAAGGTATGGTTTATTTTTTTAATTGAATACCTCCAGGAAGCTGGATAAAACCAAGAGGATAATTTTGTTTTTATTTTTTTTATTAAAAAAATTTTTTTTAACGTTTATTTATTTTTGAGATAGAGAGAGAGACAGAGCATGAACGGGGGAGGGGCAGACAGAGAGGGAGACACAGAATCCGAAAGGGGCTCCAGGCTCTGAGCTGTCAGCACAGAGCCCGACACGGGGCTCGAACTCACGGGTCATGAGATCGTGACCTGAGCCGAAGTCGGCCGCCCAACCGACTGAGCCACCCAGGCTCCCCGATAATTTTCAGTTTTTAAAGAAAACTATATAGAGGCATCAATCCTGTTCCAGATTGGGCTTTTTCTGTCACAACCTGTCTTGCCTAGGAGTTTGTTTTGAATCCATCTTTTCCCCTAGATCACTGTGTAAATTGCCTTCTTACAGTAGCATCACCTTCCAGCCCCCTGCTAAGAAAGGCGAGAACCCTGGTTGATGCTTCATGCTCAAGCATCAGTTACATTTCCATTTAGGACTTGGTGTGTATGATGAGTGGTGTGCATGCGTGTGTGCGTGTGTGTGTGTGTGTGTGTGTGTGTGTGTGTGTGTGTAGAGGAGGAGGAGGAGGAATGAATTGAAAAAGATGTTTAATACCTGGCTTTTCTCTCAGCCAGTCCTGACTTTATGACTTGATTTTGGTGGCTGGGAGAGGGAGGAGTGTAGAATGAGATTGGGGGAGAAAGAGAAGAAGGCAGAGATGGAAACAAAGCTTTGCGGTGTTACTGCAACTTGCTTGGTACTTTTAAGTAGGAAAGATACAATCTCCTTTGCTTCTGTAGCCCCAGGGCTTAATACGTGGGAGGCCCTCAAGAAAGTATCTGGTGGATGAAAAAAGTGAAAAGGGGGTGACCATGAGAGGTTGGTGGGGGCAGAGGGTGGGCACCAGTGGACGTCTCTGCTTCTGAAAACCAGATACACGCACAGAGTTGGAAGCACAGCGGACATGGGTCAGATTTAAAAAAAATTTTTTTTATGTTTATTTATTTTTGAGAGAGAGAGAGAGAGAGAGAGAGAGAGAGAGACCGAGCGAGCAGGGGAAGGGCAGAGAGGGAGGGAGACAGAATCCCAAGTAGGCTCCGTACCATCAGCACAGAGCCCAATGCAGGGCTTGAACCCATGAACCGTGAGATCATGACCCGAGCTGAAACCAAGAGTTGGACACTTACCCGACTGAGCCACCCAGGCATCCCACATGGGTCAGATTAAGTTGTTGTCATTCTTCCCACTCTCAGGCTTGTGGGGCCCCAGAGTTTGCTAAACCTGATGAATGATGAGAAGGAGGGGGCATTTAGGGCTTCCCTTGGGTCAGTTTTTCCTTAGCACTGGAGTAGGAGAAGGAAATCTCCAGAAAAGCAGTAGTGTGCTCGCCTTGAACTGCAACATTGCCTGAGGTGTCTGTGAGGCCTGGACAGTGTGCAGGTAGGCTGTCCTGAGCTCACCTTTCACACCATTTAGGGACACTGTCCCATTGGCTCATGGCCAAGGTGCCTGAGAAAGAGCTGGAATCCATTCATTCCTGGGAGTCAAGAGGAATCTTGGGAACAAAACTTGAAGCAGAGGGATGAGGTTCTAGGTGAAATTTTGGGGTTCAGCCAGCCTGTAGGTGAGATATTTGGAGAAACTTCACCCCCCGATGTGAATTCTTAGTAAGGAATTCGGACGGCCTTGGAGTTTTCAACGTCTAAAGGGAGGATGGTCTTGGGGGAAGATAATAGACAGTGGGGTCTCCAACACCAGGGCTCTCTGGGTGTGAGGATGACTCCATTGCTGATTGGGATCAGATTATTGGTTAGTCATACCTGTTTTCCCACACCCTCCTTTGCAGGTGTTTGCAAGAGCAAGCCCTTGGACTTGGTGTTTATCATTGATAGCTCTCGCAGTGTGCGGCCTCTGGAGTTCACCAAGGTGAAAACCTTTGTCTCCCAGATAATCGACACTCTGGACATTGGGGCGGCGGACACACGGGTGGCGGTGGTGAACTATGCTAGCACCGTGAAGATTGAGTTCCATCTCCAGACCCACTCGGATAAGCAGTCGCTGAAGCGGGCTGTGGCCAGGATCACACCCTTGTCTACAGGCACCATGTCGGGTCTGGCTATCCAGACAGCGATGGATGAGGCCTTCACGGTGGAGGCAGGAGCTCGGGGGCCCACATCCAACATCCCTAAGGTGGCCATCATTGTGACAGACGGAAGACCTCAGGACCAGGTGAATGAGGTGGCCGCTCGGGCCCGGGCATCTGGTATTGAGCTCTATGCCGTGGGCGTGGACCGGGCAGACATGGAGTCCCTCAAGATGATCGCCAGTGAGCCCCTAGATGAGCATGTTTTCTATGTGGAGACCTATGGGGTCATCGAGAAACTTTCCTCTAGATTCCAGGAGACCTTTTGTGGTAAGTCTTTGCTCCTAAATAGAAAAGATGTTGTATTCAGACACTGTGTATCCAAAGAAAAAGAAATAAAAGATTTATTCTTTTTTTTTGGAAGTGGAAAGTCATGGAAAACCAAATACTCACCTAAAGCAATTGCTTTTCTTGTTTTTTTTTTTTTACCAACATAAACACACTTTGTTGGTTTAGGAATATAGAGTTGCTTTATATGTAACTTGGTTTGCTCATAAAATCTTCATGTTTGCATTAGAAATGTGAAGGTCTAGAAATATCCAGGATAAATGATCCTGCTGTTCCCTGATGGGGTCAGAGAAAAATAAAAATAAAAAACTCAAGACACCTCTTTTCTCCCCTTTGCCCACAACTCCATTTTCCCCAGATATTTTCTTCAGCTTTACCATCTCTGGATGTCACAGAATTCTACCTGTTTTCCTGCAGAAAACAAGGAGCAGCAGCTGTCTGTCTGTCCATGGAAGGATCAGCTGGCCTGTTTTCCAGTGTAACTGGCAGTCAGGGTTCTACTTATTCCCTAGATACACTAGTTTTCAGATTTTGTTCTTCCTCTGACTATTCTTCATGGAGGGATGGGATTAGGAATTAGGGAGGTTGGGATTTCAGCTCACTTGTGAGGTAGCAAGAAGCAGATTAAAAAAAAATCATTGTTATTGTCCTTCTGTCTTTTTCCCTTTAGGATGGAGTTTGAATATGAGTATGTTAATTAAAAAAAATTTTTTTTTAATGTTAATTTATTTATTTTTGAGACAGAGACACAGAGACAGAGCATGAGCAGGGGAGGGGCAGAGAGAGACAAAGACACAGAATCTGAAGCAGGCTCCAGGCTCTGAGCTGTCAGCACAGAGCCTGCCTGACCCAGGGCTCAAACTCACGAACCGGGAGATCATGACCTGAGCCAAAGTTGGATGCTCAACAGACTGAGCCACCCAGGCACCCCTGAGCATGCTAATTTAATTGGAACTTTTAGCAGTCAAATCCATGAATATGAATTTACTTAAGGCTGGGCTCTATTTTTAGTCACTGATCAGAGTTATGAATGTGTGAGACTCATACTTTTTTAAGTTTCTTTTTTCTACTATCTATCTGTCTATCTTTCTCTATCTATATTCATGCTTTAGTTTTTAAAATCATGAAGAGGTATAGTCTTTCAAAGCCCTCCCTGGAGTTATCCAAACAGGTATGGGCAAATTTTTAGTTCAGGTGAATTTTATTATTTTTATTTTTTATTTTTAGTTTTTTAATTTATTTTGAGAGAGCGAGTGCATGCATGTATGTGTGTGCGCGCGCGTGCATATGAACAGAGGGGTGGTGGAGAGAGAGGGAGAGAGAGAATCCCAAGCAGACTCCATGCTGTCAGGACAGAGCCCCATATGGGACTCGATCTCACAAACCATGAGATCATGACCTGAGCTGAAATCAAGAGTTGAATGTTTAACCAACTGAGCCACCCAGGTGCCCCTGGTTCAGGTGAATTTTAAAATGTAGATACCGTTTGCTGTGTAATCTATTCCCCATCTCTTTATTTGATGTGTATTCATTAATCACTGATGATATGAAGATAAAGATATTCCTTCCTTACTATCAAGCAATAAAAATAGTTTGGGGGTGGTGATGAGACAAACAAGTGAATCAATAATTACAATTGCAAATTTCAAGGAGTCTTTATATCAGAATTAATGTGGAACTCAGCAATCACCAGTTTGTCAGGAAATGGGAGATGAAGTCTTGGTCTGGAGCTAAGTTTGGCCTCATCTCAACCAGACCTGGCTGGTGGCCCCTTGTCTTTCCTGTCCCAAGACACTGGGCCTTCACAAGCTATCCTTGGCTTTGGTGGCATCTACTTAGTATTCATTGGTTTCTCAAAAGAACATGGCTTTCTTTCTCCCAGGAAAACCCCTTATGCTTGTGGGTGAGAGCTTTTCCATAAAGATGCTGGTCTGTGGCAGAGTTGGGTCTCACAGCTAGCACCTGGGTTTGGGCTTGAAGGCCATAAAGTAGCAAGTGGTGAGTGGCAATCTTTTCCTTCTGGTACAAAAGGCCTGCTTGTTCTGGGGGAAAAAATCCCCTCTCTATGGAAAAAAGACTGAGGGCCAGCTTGTTGTAGTCAACGGGTTGGAAAGATCATCCCATGAAAAGGCCCTTCTTGGGCAAATATTAGCCTTGACCTGTTGCCAAAGCAGTCGAGGCTGGGTTACCTGCCCAGGGATGCCAGCCTCCTCCAACAGTCCTCCTTGGTTTCTCAGAAATGACTAAATTCATTGATTCTTCTTCAAGGTGTGTCACTAGGGAAAAAACAAATCCAATGAGATATTAACAACTCCAGGAGTGAAACGATGGGTATGGAGTTTAGCTAACATAATCTCATTTATTCTGGTCTTCCTTTTCTTTTCACCTGCTTGCATCAAGCATGTGAGTTTATTCTCCTTGCAGATATTAGAGGCCCTGAAGTTTCATACATAAACATTTGGGCTCAAGCTCCATGCTGCACATTCAGGCATTGCCCTCCACCATTTGCATGTTCAAATATGTATTGCCGCCCAAGAGTGAGAGAGTTCCAGGCCCAGAGGGATGCCTGCCTGTGACTTCTGTTTTGACACAAATGATAGAGCCCTTGGAAACCAGATCTCTGGCTGCAATAGGCCAGCTAGCTCGTAGACCTTCAAGAAGTACATTGTAGTTCTCCCCATGTCTTGCAGTTGGGAAGTAAAAAGTCTTTTTTCGTGAACAGGTGGATAAATTGAAGACCTGACCCATGTAAGTACTTGGCTTTGGCTCCCAATTCAAAATTTCCTTTCTCTTTGAGAGAGTTGACAATAAAATCTGTAATTTTAAATTCATAACATTATTAGTTGAAGAGTGGTATTTCTAATAAGCCAGAGGCCAAAAACAAATACCCAGTGTTTATAGTGAACTATAATTGGAGAGGAACCCAGAGAGTGATGTCTCTCTGACATGGAAGAGAGTTATCTGGAATGTGTCTTACGTGTCGATACTGACTATTGTAAACTTCCTGTGCACAGCCCTGGACCCGTGTGCACTTGGCACACACCAGTGCCAGCACGTGTGCATCAGTGATGGGGAAGGCAGATACCACTGTGAGTGTAGCCAAGGATATTCCCTGAACGCTGATATGAAGACATGCTCAGGTGAGGCTTGCTCAGGGATGGTGTCTGACTGCTACTTACCTAGGGACCTACTCTCTAGGGTTTGGACTGGCCGTATGCTTTTCTCCTGACTGCCTTTTGGTTGGCTTACTCTTGCTTATCCACGTTTTTCCTCCAAAATTGTTGCAGAAAAGTGAGAGGAGAAAAGTGAGGTAATACCTAATCAGCTTATTTATAGTACTTATTATTAGTTTTAGAGAAAAGGGTTAGTAGGGAAATGGGTTAGGAAGGAAGGGGGCCAACACTTTTGGTCCTTTTGAGGATTTGGAACTTTTCCTGGATTTTACTTAATTAAATACAAGCTTCCCTTTTGTCCCTGTGACCAAAGCTGCTTATTGAATTTAGACACAGAAGAAAGTTTAGGGAGGTTCTCATTCATCTAGTATATGAATACTCACATATAATCAATAAAGATGGGAATTAGGTCTATTTTTTTTTAATCCTAGAAAAAAGTTTTTGAGAGGAAGGAAACTTAGAGATTATTTAATTCAACATACTCATTTTATAGACGATGAAATGGAGACACAACAGAGGAAGAAGACTTACCCATGTCATAGGGTCTGTTAGTGAAAGAGCTAACACAGGACTTTAGTTACCAACCTCCTGTCCTGTAGTCTTCCTGTTGTGCTGAGCTGCCTTGTTTCAGTAGCAGTGTGTGTGTGTGTGTGTGTGTGTGTGTGTGTGTAGTGGCTCAATTAATTTACCACGTTTTCTGTGTGTTTACATTTGTCCCGATCATCTTTTGATAGCTATCAATAAGTGTGCTCTTAACACTCATGGATGTGAACACATCTGTGTGAACGATAGAACTGGCTCTTATCACTGTGAGTGCTATGAAGGTTACACCTTGAATGAAGACAAGAAAACATGTTCAGGTAAGTGGGAGAGGAGGGTTTACTTTTGCTACCTCCCTACCTATATGCCTCCCTAGCTGGTGTTGGAGGCGTAGGTCATGCTGACAAGGCACTTGGTTGGTTTTTCTCTCTTGGGGTTTTCCCATTTCTGCCTTGTCTAGTAAGTCAGACCAGTCTTATTAGACAAGTCAGAAATGGCAGGATGTATGTATCATGGGCCACACGCATGAGTGTGTTGTTCATTTCCATCTCTGTACCCAGCCCTTTCAGTGCTTTCCAGATGCTGAAGACAGTTTTTAGTAGGTTAAAATCAAAGAACGCTCCACAAGGTATTTATTACCTACCATGGGAAAAAACAGTTACTTCATAGTGGAGAAACCTGGCAGGCATTACTTGAACCAAGTGGTCAGAGTGAACACCTCCAGTAATGCCCTGCGGTGACATCATGCATCTCCTGACATGATGTCCTGAGGGCACCATAGTACTTCTGTTGTATTCTTGCTAAACATCCAGAATCATGAGGAAACTTCAAACAAACCTAAACTTGGAGACATTCTACAAAGTGATTTTCCACTGTTTCTCAGAAGTGTCAAGGTCATGAAAGATAAAGACTGAGCTAGGGACATGTGACAATGAAATGCAATGTGAGTCCTAGATTGGATCCTGGACCAGGAAAAGGACATTAGTGGTAGAACAAATGGTAAAATTTGAATGAGGGTCTGTAGATTAATTAATAGTACTGTGTCAGCGTTAATTTCCCAGTTTTGATAATTGTACCACTGTTGTATGGGATGCTAACATTTGGGGAGATGGGTGAGTACAGGAATTTTTGTACTATTTTTGGAACTTTTTCATATGCCTTGCGATGATTTCAAAGTGAAAAGTTTAAAGATAAAAAGTAGTTGAAAAGTATCCTGTCTGCATACAGAAAAGTGCACTGAGTTTGGGTCTTGAGTTCTGATGCTGCTCTGAGTCAGTTGGTTTCCTTTGGATTCAGCTTATTTGGATTCAGCTTATTCCTCACTTATTTATTTTTTTTTACTGTTTATTTATTGTTGAGAGAGAGACAGAGTGTAAGCGGGGAAGGGGCAGAGAGAGAGGGAAACACAGAATCCGAAAGAGGCTCCAGGCTCTGAGCTGTCAGCACAGAGCCTGACATGGGGCTCAAACCCACAAATCGCGAGATCATGACCTGAGCTGAAGTCAGACGCTTAACTGACTGAGCCACCCAGGTGCCCCTCAGCTTCCTCACTTTTAACAGGAGAGGGCTGAATTACAGTTTCTTCAGATTCAAATTTGATGTCTTTCTAAATCTAGTGTAATTAGCCCCATATTTGCTGGTATCCCTGTGATTCAGCATAAAAACAAGAAGTCCTGAAGGAACGCTTTAGAAAGTATTTATGAGATACTTAGATTATAAAAACTCCTTCTTGGTGATTTTGAAGATCAGTTGGGGAAAGATGAAGAATAAGCACTGTGTGTGCAGGATTTTGTTTAACTCAGCCAACGTCCAGTATGAGCCAATAGTACGGATGGCTGTGGAAAGTTTGTAATAGGTTTGCCTCTTATATATTTCTAGCTGCAAGTAAGAAGATTGTTATATACGGGTAATACAAAAATTTTCTCCTTTTCATTTCTCTTCTCCTGGACTTCTGTTTGGCAGCTCAAGATCAATGTGCTTTTGGTACACATGGCTGTCAGCACATTTGTGTGAATGACAGAGGTGGGTCTCATCACTGTGAATGCTACGAAGGCTACACTCTGAACACAGATAATAAAACGTGTTCCGGTAAGGTCCACTGAACAAATTCTTTCGTTGTTGGCTCTTTGTATGGCAGGGACACCAAGTTCCAATTCACGTAGTGAGCGATTCTTAAAGACAGTTTAAAGAGTCGGACTTTCGACCGTCCACGGTACTTATAGATGAAGACACACATAGCTCAGACAGCAGTGAGCTCGCTTCATTTTGCAAATATAGCTCACTTCAGAAATGGGTAGGGAGGGGGGGAGATGAGAAGAGCTAATTGAATGCAGGGTCTTTATCCAGGAAAATTTTATAGCTCTGTATACTGGGGACTTGTAAAGCAAATGGGAACTTTAGAGGAAGTCAGTTGGACAGTAACTATTTGGTGTGATAGGCTGAACTGATCTTTTTCCAATTAAAACTTGGCCAGGAACTTTTCTGTAGTGTTAATCTTAAAGCTGGATCCTTTTAGTAAAGGAGACTTTGTCAATGACTAAATTAGACCCACACAGATCTTCCAGTAAGTTTGAAGTAAGTTGTTCCCTGACAGTTTCTAGATGATCAATCTTCAGTGAATCTGAGCCTTATGACTTGGCCAATCCTCATTAATTTGATTTAAACTCACTGGCAGAACAGGGTGGCATTTATAATGTAAAAACACTTTCTAAGAGAAATTTGTGCCTCTCAAGGCGGTGTTTAATTTTGGCATATTCAAACTTTTAAATAAGATTTTTATGTATATGTTCCTATCCCTTGAGGAGAGATATTATGTGACCTTTTGAAGAGAGAATAAGGGAAATGGCAAATCACCAATTCCCTTTAAAAAAAAAAAAAAAAGAGGGGCGCCTGGGTGGCTGAGTTGGTTAAGCATTCGACTTCAGCTCAGGTCATAATCTCCCTGCTCGTGAGTTCGAGCTCCGCATCGGGCTCTTTGCTGTCAGCCTGGAGCCTGCTTCGGATCTTCTGTCCCCCTCTCTCTGCCCCTCTCTGGTTCTCTCTCTTTCTCTCTCTCAAAATAAATAAATAAACTTAAAAAAAATGAGAAAAATAGGGGTGCCTGGGTGGCTCAGTCAGTTAAGCGTCTGATTCTTGATCTCAGCTCAGGTCTTGAGATCAGGGTCCTGAGTTCAAGCCCCATGTTGGTCTCCACACTGGGCATCCAGCCTACTTAAAAAAAAAAAAAGAAAAAGAAAACAAAACAAATCAATTAAAGAATACCGAGTACCTATTTTTTTTCCAGGACTGTGCAAAATGCTGTGGGGATGTAAAGAAATGCATTTTGTGTCTCTGAGCAACTTCTAGACTGGGTGCAAAGAGAACCAACACCTTGAGAAAGCAGAGACTAGCCAGGAAGAGGGATAGACAGTAACCGAGGGCTGTGGATGCTGGGGAGGTGGGCTGCCTGGAGAAGGGTATGGAGTGGGTAGGGCAGGAGGTGAGCCGTGAGGATGGTGAAGGTTTAGACAGAGGACTGGAGAGCCAGATGGCCAAGGGGAGTGGCTTGTGTTGGTTTGCTCAGTGATAGGACTAAGTCCCCTGGGGTGGAGAAGCCTCATGGCTGTACTTCTCAAACTGGTTACAAATATCCCACTTGGTACCTTAAGCCACCAGGAACACTGAAGACCTCGAAAGAGGAAACTAAAACAAATGTACACTTAAATTAACAGATATTATGGAATAAAGTAGAACATTTTATTTTGAAAAAATCAAAGAAAGTGTTCCGTTAGGGCAGACTACCCCAGGCAATACTCCCAGGTCACAATATCCAACATTCTTCAGTGCCTGCTGTATGCTGTGCATGGTTCTAGGCATTTGCTGTGAGCAACTTTATGAGGAAACAAGGCACAGACAGGTTGAATAACTTGGCCCTGGTCACTCAGCTAGTGAGTAGCAGAGTGAGGATTTGAACCCAGGCCCTTACTCTGGTGGTTACACATGCTCTCAAACACCAAGCCATACTGTTTCATGGTTGCAAAGGTAGCTAGAAGAGCAAGGCCAGGTTGTGGAAAGTTAGTGTTTATATATTTTAAAGTAATGATGGATACTGTTCTAAAGCTGGGGTACGTAACCTGGGTCCCATCCCCTCCAATGGTCTGCTTTCCCCTGCTGGCCGGTAGCAAGGCTTGTAGATTAAATGTGGAGCCCCAGATTGGGGGGGTTGGGGGTGGAGGCATGGCCCGTTGTTGTCGGTAGAGCCGCTGGTAGCCTGGGATGAGGGGAAAAATGAAACATTCTGCTATTTGGCATTTTGCTAGAAAAATCTGAAGTAATGAAGGGGAATATCAATGTTAAAGCTGGAAAGATGATCTATGAATAAATTATGTAGAGACTTGCATTTCACTCAAAGCTCTTTTATTAAAAAAAATTGTTTTTAATGTTCATTTATTTTTGAGAGAGACAGAGACAGAGTGTGAGTGGGGGAGGAGCAGAGAGAAAGGGAGGAAGACACAGAATCTGAAGCAGGCTCCAGGCTCTGAGCTGTCAGCACAGAGCCGGATGCAGGGCTTGAACTCATGAACGGTGAGATCATGATCTGAGCTGAAGTTGGACGCTTAACCAACTGAGCCACCCAGGTGCCCCAAAGCTCTTTTATAGGCAATAGTGAGCCATGGAAGTTTCCTGAGTGTGGAGGAACACTTAAGAGTTAGAGGGGGACAAACCAGTTAGGTTGGTCTCCTGTGATGTTGGACGAAGAACCTGTGTTTCCATGAAAGACTTTCTGGGTTTATTAAGGGAGACCTGCTGTTTTCATTTGTCCTGGGCCAGTGTGGACATGGGACCAGACAAGCACAGCACTTTTGTCTGCTCTCCACTCAAATCTGGGCAAACCATCTACCTCCTTGTAATATATTTACTGTGACAGATAATAAACCCCTCACTATCCAAACATACACATCTCCTCACCATCATCACTGTTATTGCTATCTCTTTGTGTATGTGTGCATATGTGCTCAGGCTCGTGTTTTCTCTCCCACTTTGTACACTTTTTTTTTAATGTTTATTTTTTGAAAGAGAGTGCAAGCCAGGGAGAGGCAGAGAGAGAGAGAGAGGGAGAGAGAAATCCCAGGCAGATTCCATACTGTCCATGCAGAGCCTGTCGCGGGGCTCGAACACACAAACTATGAGATCATGACCTGAGCCGAAACCCAGAACTGGACGCTTAACTGACTGAGCCACCCAGGCACCCTTTTCCCACTTTGTACACTCTTAAGGCCAGGCCGTTGGTCAACACAGCATCAAATTTAGCTCCATGTGCAAGTAGGTCTCTAATACATTATTTTTGGTGATGGTGATGATGATCCACGTGTGGCTGGAGATGTTGGAGGCATTTGTGGTCATCAGGAAAAGCCAAAGGTAAGGTCTGAGCCATGTAATCAAAGTCAGAACTGGCCGGGAGCAAGGCAGGAAAGCAAGAGAAGGCACCCCCTAGATATCTGCAAGAAATGAAAGGGAAAAGGGGGGAGCCAGGAAAAGGCGAGGCTAGAGGCATGTGAGATGTAGAACAGGAAAACAGGTTTTCTCCTGAAAAGTGGGAGATTTGTTGCTGACAACTGAAGGGTTCATCCTCAGCATCTGTTGCCTCCACACCGAAGCTTTTCTCACCCAGAAATCTGCGTTTGGTTTCCTGCTGTAACTTGGGAATATTTTCTTTCCTGCCGTGCTCCTGGCCAGTTCTCAGCAAGTGTGCTCTGGGCTCTCACGGCTGCCAGCACATCTGTGTGGATGACGGGGCAGCGGCCTATCACTGCGAGTGTTATGCCGGCTACACCTTGAATGAAGACAGGAAGACGTGCTCAGGTAAAGACTGGACTTCAAGCCTATGTCATTTGGAAGGACAATCCTCCAGGAGAAAGCCTTCCTCTCCAAGTCTGAAGCACAGTCCTGATTGTTCCTCCCAGTCCGAATCCTCCAGTGGCTCCCAGTTGTCTTCAGAACGAAACCATTTTGCCCACGGCCATTCATCCCTCGTGGGTCCTTCCTCTGTCTTTGTTTCTCTTTCTAATCAAAGTCCCGCCCTAAGTTAGAGTTTCTGTTGTGGTGGTGGTAAGACACATAACATACAACTTCACATTTTAAACATTTTATGTTTTAAAAGTATAGTTAAGTGGAGTGCATTCCTATTGTGCAACCATCCCACACTCCAGCCATAGCACTTGATCATTGCAAACTGAAGCTCTGTACCTGTCCCCTCTCTCCCTGCCCCTGGTGACCTCTCTTCTTCACCCGGTCACTCCCTTTATCCCCAGATTCGTTCCTTTCTACGTCCTGTGCTCCACCACGTGGATATTCCGGAAACATGCCCTGCCCGTTTCCACCCTCTGCTGGGATCCCCTTCCCTTGCCGCTTTTGCTCGTCAAAATCCAAGAACCGCATCCTTGCCAACATTTGGTTTTGTTGCATTAATTTTTTGCCAGTCTCATCGATGCAAAAAAGTATCTCCCCGTGGTCTTTATTTCTTTCATTTCCTGGTTGCTAGAGATGTTAAGCACCTCTTCCTGTATTTTTTGGTCATTTCAGTTTCTTATTGGGAAATGCTATTTATGCCCTTATTTTTCTATCTGGTTATTTGTATTTTTCTTACTGACTCAAAGGAACTCTTCACATCTCTGGATATAAATTTTTTTTTTGTGTGTGTTGGAAATATCTTCTAGACTGTGTTTATATTTTTACTAAAGGATGTGTCTACAGCAGTATTCATAATATTTTCATTAGTGCAGTAACTTTATTAGTGTTTGTTTTCAATATGCTTCATTACCTGCATAAGTGTTCTCTAAATTACTTTGTGTGAATCGAATACTGCAAAAGAGTGTTTGTTTGTTTCTTTAATTTCCAGGCCTAGTTTTAATTTTACCCCCTCTACCAGGGTTACCCTTCTATTTCTGTTGAGCTCCGCCCTCTTTCAACGCGGGATGCCTTGTGTTGTGATTACTTGTGTGTTCCTTCAACCATTCCTTCATCCATTCGGCAAATAGAGTGCCTACTATGTGCTAGGCACTAGGTATATAATTGTGAACAAAGTAAGTATGGTCTTCGATAATAGTCTAAGGGGAAAAGACAAGGAAGTGACAATTTATAAATGAAACAAGAGCCAGGGGTAAAGAACAGGGTCCTCAGACAGTGTGGGTTGGGGGAGTGCCTGGATGAGGAAGTGACATCTGAGACCCGAGCATCAGCCATAGTTAGGTTGGGATTGGGGGGCTGGCGGATGCAGGGAGAGCAATGCCACAGTCTGTGCTTGTGCGGTGGTGGCTTTGGTGGGAGAGGAGGGGAGAGAAGCCAGTGTGAGGGAAGCATGACCAGCCAGAAGAAGCGTGGTATTAGATAGCTGGGAGAGTGAGGCAGGGGCCAAGTCCTGCTGATCTACTGGGGTGAGGGCAAGGAGTTTATATTTCATTCTATGGGAAATGGGAAGTCCCTGGAGAGTTTTAAGCAGCAGAGGCATTCTGTTTATATTTTCACAAGTCACCCTACCTGCTGTGTGGATTGCAGGGGATGAAAAGCAGAAGACGGGACCAGTAGGAGGCTGTTGCAGTGGTCCCAGTTTGGTGAGGAGGGTGGCAGTGGTGACAGAAGCAAGATGATTTCAGATACTTTTCAGAGGCAGAATGAACAGGAACCAGGGAATAGGGCAGGAGAGGAATAAGGATGATTTTCCTATTTCAGCCTTGAGCAGCTGGGAGGAGGATGGGGTATCTCCGTTGAGGTGAGGTAGACTGAGGCTGAAGCAGATTTGGGGAGCAAAGTCAGAGTTTGGGACTTGTATGTTTATGCTCCTGTAGACTGTGAATTCCAATCCCTGAAAATAGTAGATGTCTGTATTCCTAGCATCCTCCATGGCCCCTGACAGTTACTTGGTAATTACTTCTTCATTTGAAGTACGGATGGATCAGCTTCTTGAGGAGGGCGAGGGTAATAGGGAGCAGCTTGCTTCTAGAATTTGAGTATGTCAGGGTACTGTCACCCTATCTAGGTGTTTAATCCTCAGAAACATCAGTCTTGGGCATTTTTTCTTCTCCTGGAAAATGGGGATTCCAGTATAATTTATGACGGGTTAGGTAACGACCTCACTTGTCTAGCCATTCACTTATTTTCTCAGCAAGTGTTCGTGGAGCTACTCATATATCTAGTACCCTGTCAGGTCCTGAGGAAGGAATGGGAGACAAATCAATGTTTTTGTAGTTTGCAGTGTATAAGTCTTGTACTTCTTTTGTTAAATTTTTCCTAAAGATTTTATTCTTTTTGATGATATTGTGAATGGATCTATCTCTCAACTTTCAATTGTGCTATATCCTAGTTTTAAATTTTCTGTGGAGTGTTTTAATTAGAATACCCCGCTAAGCCCTTGCCCTCATAGAGCTTATAGTCTATCAGGCGAGATAACACTGGAAAAGTATTCTAAGTGCCAACTATATGCTCGGTACAGGGATGATGGGCATGTACTTAATTTCACTAGCTACTTTCTGGCTTACTGACTGACTGGTTTGGACTGGCTATCCCTAAAAGTCAGCAGGATTTGGACAGGTAGGTAGATTATATTTAATCAAGTGAATTTATGGTCCCCTCAATAGCCTATCTTTGTAGAATGTAGGAGAAAATGTGGGAGCAAAGGACCACTCCCTGTCCTCAGGCGGTGGTACCACCCGACTGCAAGATTGTATACCAGTCTTCAGACCTGGGAAGTTACTCTTACTTCTGTTAGGCAACTTTGGGGGCTGTGATACTGAGTAGGAATAGCTGCCTCACTGTATTTCAGAGAGAATTAGAAGTTAGCATTATCATTCTCCCAGGTTCTTTGCTTAAATGTTGATACCAACCTGAAGTTTTTAGTTCCAAAGTATTTATGGGTAAGAACTAGAACTCTCAATTCAGACCATCCAATAGAATAAGAGTCTGTATAGGACATCAGGAATTATCCTTGAATTTAATCCCTTTATTTCATTTTATTCATTTAATCCTTGAATATTTTGGCCAAAGAGAGAACTGTTTTCCTCATTTTCATGTCTTAATAAGGACACAGTATCATAATAAGATTAATTATCTTAGCTCTGTATGTTTGGCTTGCGCCTACATCAACTTTTTAAAATTTTCCTTCATATCACAGAAAGTTTCCAAAGATCACAAAAGTATAGAGAATATAGTGAACTCTCATATAACCAACACCCAGCTTTGGCAACTGTAAGCACTTCCCAACATCTAATTCAATTTCTTCTGTGACATTAGCATTCCAAAGTATTTTCTCCTCTTTCTGTGTGCTTATACCCTTTTACCTCCTGGAAAATGCATTTAGGTAAGTCTTAAAAATGGAAGTATTGAATTGTAGATTTCCTGACTTGCTATGATTTCTAATTAGCTGTAACATTTTGTATACTGTCATCATCAGCCATTCAAGAAGCACGAAGACTCATCTCCACAGAAGATGCTTGTGGATGTGAAGCCACTCTGGCATTCCAGGATAAGGTCAACTCCTATCTGCAGAGACTGAACGCCAAACATATCCTTTCTGGAAGGTTTTCTGCTTCTGCTTTAAGCCACCCTCGGTAGTACAACTGAGCCAAACATTTTAGGACATTCCATGGGATAAGGGCCCTATTCATTACATTTTAAGATGAGCAATAGTAATACAGTGTTTATTTTTTTAGAGTTCTTTTAAAATATTTTAATAGACTGTTTTGCCCAGTTAGTATTTACATGTTAAAAGCTGCCTATTTGTTTCTCTAGTGCTTTTCCAGTAGTATATGCTAATTGAGTTCTTATTAACAGATGGAGCTATTATGCTAGGATCCCTTAATATGGCTCAGTTCAGAATCTGTGCATGTACAGAATGAGTTAGCTGACTAGTGAGGCAATAGCTCAGACAGCACATATACTGGCTAGCCAAGTGGTCAAAAGCAGATTTCAAAATGTAACATGTAAGAAATGTGTAAGATTTCAAAATGTACCATCTAAGAAACTGTAAAAATCAGTTATTTTATTTTTAATTTTTTAAATATTTATTTATTTTTGACAGAGACAGAGAGAGAGAGAGAGAGAGAGAGAGAGAGAGAGAGAGCATGAGTGGGGGAGGGGCAGAGAGAGAGGGAGACACAGAATCCAAAGCAGGCCCCAGGCTCTGAGCTGTCAGCACAGAGCCCAACACGGGGCTTGAACTCACAAACCTTGAGATCATGACCTGAGCTGAAGTCGGACGCTCAACCAACTGAGCCACCCAGGCACCCCTAAAAATCAGTTCTTTAACCAAAGGAGTAATTCAGGAAAAGTACTTTTTCTTAGACAGCTCAAGTTAACAACACTGTCTCTAGGGATCTTAGAGGAATGGTATTCAAATGGTGATAGGGACATGGGGGTGGTGCACAGAAAGTTGTACCAAATTCATTTGCAAATCCTTAAGTTGACCTGCCTAAAATGCTACAGGGACTCAGTTGGCATTCTCTGTTCCCATTTCTCACTTCACATTGCTGTTCTCCTGACTTTACACCAGGAAGGCAGCCTCAATCTTCTACCAGCCTCAATCTTCTAAGGTGAACTTCTTGGAAAAGTAAAATCTCCAGAGAACCAACAAAGGGATGGATGTTCAACAGTTTTTAAATCAAGGCCTCATAAACACCACTCCCCCAATTTATTCCATTAAGAGATACTTTTCCAATTAAAGTTTGCCTTTCATCTTTCATTTTTAGTAATTTTATGCCAAAATTTGTAATTTATTTGTTGTTTGATCAATTACATGCTCATATTAGTTGTAATGATAACTCAATCCAGATGATTAAAAATACTGGAGGCCTTATGGTCAAAGAAAATTAATTTAAAGGTAATTTCAATATCAATGTTTATGTGCTTGTTGTTTGTGTTAAGTTTATTTCAAAGAAGTGTTAATAGAGATCAAGAAAAGATTTCCAAGATTCAAAGTAGAATAAAATTCTGTGGAGAAAGTAGAAAGTAAATATAAAGTCAAGGAAATACAAATTCCTTTATTTTAAATATTTTATTTTGGAAGAATGATAGTAGGTATTGATTCAGTATGGTATTAATATTACATAGGACATTTGGAAAATTAATTTAGATTTTATTTTAAAAAATCAGCATTTTTAAAATGGCAGAAATTACATATTTTGTAACTAAAATTTATGATGAAAATTTTCATCTAATTTAAATATGCACAAGGCAGCATTTATTTGTCAAAATTATTTTAGGGGATCGGAGCAAAAAGTTTGAAGACAAGGGCTCTGTATCATCTCTGAAGACCACTGCTTTGTAACAGGACTCTAAAGAACAGAACTTAGGAGTTTTAGGTTAAATTAGATTTTGCTGAGAAAATAATTTCACTCTTTTTCTTCTTTATTTACAATAGAATGTAATTATTCTCATTTATCTTGTATTTAAGTGTATGAAACTGTGTTTCTGTTTTCTCATGTTTAAAAATAAGGGTACCTTGGCTCAGTTGGTTGAACGTCAGACTTCAGCTCAGGTCACGATCTCATGGTTTGTGGGTTCAAGCCCCATGTTGGGCTCTGTGCTGACAGCTCAGAGCCCAGAGCCTGCTTCGGATCCTGTGTCTCCCTCTCTCTGTGTCCCTCCCCTGCTCATGCTCTGTCTCTCTCTCTCTCTCTCAAAAATAAATAAAAAACATTAAAAAAAAAAAGACATTGGCCTTAACAACCAGTCACTTGATGACATTTTAGGGAAGCTGCAAGAAAATGAATCTGGACAAATACATCATTAAATTACTCAAAATTTTCACCTGGAAATACGGAGAGCTTGGTGTGTTTGATACTTTTGCATACTTCCATGTTCCTGCTAATATCTGCCCTTGCAATTGCCTGAATATTACTGGATAAACAGTATGAGGATCTTCTAGAGAATCAGTGTCATTTTTTAAAGGAAATAAACATTCACATCCTTAAGAGCAAACTTTAGTGTCTCGAAGCTATGACTGTGAAATGATTGGTAGGAAATAGAATGAAAAGTTTAATATTTCTTTATTTACCAATTGAGCCATTTAATTTTTAAATGTTTATATTAGTAAGATAACCATACTTACAATGGGAACTTTTGACCTATTTTCTCTTGATAGTATTTATAGTATAAACCAGACTTACTACTCAGAGTGTAAATTGTATGGAGTATTTACACATAAAAAAGTTCATATAACTAAATTGAGGTGAATATAATTTAGCACTGTTTAACACTTTATTTTTTGCTCTTTTTTTTGCTAGAGTATTACTGAAGCTGTGATCAGGGGATTGTAATACACATCTCTAAAAATAGATCAAGTGAACATTAAATGAAACATTATAAGAAACATGTAACTAAAGATTTTAGTTTTGAATTAAGAGTGTTATAACTTTATACCAAGGAAAAACTATCCTACTTTATCTTTACTGTTTTACCTTAGGATCCAATCAATAAAATTATATTTTTATAAATATCACTCTAACAAGTAACAAAAGTAATGTTGTCTTTTTAAATTTTAGTGATAAGCGTAACCATTCTTCACTTATACATTTGATATATGTATTTTATGTTTCAGCTTGAAAGCTTATAGTTTTTAGAGAAACAGTCCTTTAAATTGTGTATTACTGAATTTTTTTTTTTTTTTTGGTTTGTATTGTCTTCAGTATAATAAAATGTTATTATCTTTACATATTATTGTCATGACTTTTTCTGGCAACCCATATCAATTTTGTCTATTAACATATTTCCTTAAATTACACTGAATTAACAATTATTTTGAATATATAACAGTTTCTTATCAAAGGACACAATGTGGTAACTCTTCCTATAATCTCATAACTTTTAAGGTTAAAAACGTAAATTCAGGTTAAATAAGCTTTAATTGAGAATATTTTGGGAGAGGGAATAGAACAAAATTATCTAAATTTGGATAAAATAATGAAGGTATATTAACATAAGCACCTGAAAAATAAATATCACCTACAGATGTAAGCCCAAAATCAGTCAAAAATCTAAAACAGAAACTTTAAAAGGAATAAATGAAAAATAAATATATCAAGGCAGTATACAGTATATGAAACATACATGGTTATTTCTCAACATTTTTGAAAGGAGATGACTTAGAGCAGTATTATTTTCCAAACTTATTTCAACACAGAATCCGTAATATCTATTAATATATCATAGAGAAAAGATGCTATAGAAGGAATAAATGAGAAGTCACTTGCAAGCACTAGGGGAAAGTATTTAAAGAGATGATTTTTCGAGTGTGACCACCAACAACCAGTTTCAACTTACCATCTCTTAAACTTGACCAGTTGATTGGAATCCCCTGACTTAGACAGTTCTGGTTTGTTTCATGAGTCCAGAATAGGGAGCTTGTGCACAGGTGCCAACATATCTTCCGAATTCAGCTTGATGCTGAAAAAACAGATACACACATTTGAAAGCAAATATATTGTCTGAATGGGATGGGGGTTACGTTTGGAAAGAATTTCTCAGGGAGACCTGATTTGTACATTCGGCTAGGCACAATTGGCAGAGAGGACAGGAACACCAGGGGATATATAAGATGGCCATGGAGGCAGAAAGCATATGGACTTGCTTAGAATGGGGGCACGATAGTAGACATTTCGGTATCCAAGGAAAATCTAATTTTAGCTGGGATTTAGATTTGATAGGAAAGGCACTGGGACCATTGTCAATTCTTGAATGTGCTGGGTGAGGCAACAGACTCCCTTCAAAGGATCTGAACATTATTTGCCTGAAATTGGGAAAGACTAGGTGGGGAAATTAGCTGCTGCAGCTACTGCTGCTGCTGCATAAGGTACATTCTAGATTATACAACTCAACAGCAGTGGCCGCAGAATATGGTAAAAGGAAAAATCAGATATAAATTAGAAAATGGGTTAGACTAAGTAATTTCGTGGGATTTTCTACCCCGTGCCCAAATTGCTGTGCTTTGTAACTCTCCAAGCATTCAAAAAGGACAAGGGAGATTAAAGAATTAAGGTAGAAAAAGAAGAGAATACAGAATAGTTGTTCTCAGGCCAGGGATCAAACACCAACTTTAATTATTCAAAAACGGAAGGCTATGCCCAAATGGCAATCACATGCTGCAATGGCCCAAAGCTCATATATATACTCCTTGACATGTACCACTGGGCTGCAGTAACACCTGAAATAAGCTGTTAAAAAGTTCTAAGACAAACAGAATAAACGCAATCTCCTAAAAACTGCTCCAGAGGTTTCTCCAATCCTCAGGAATAAGGGAAGGTTTACAGACTTCAAAAATGTACGTTGGCGCTTCCTTGTGGCCCACGGCGCCAGCCGGCCAAACACAGTAAATGACTTTCCACAATTCTGGGTCTCTGGGGCTTACAAAATCCCCAATCACCGTGACCTCAGGTGCCTTTGCTTGAGTTGATTTTAACACCCCAGGCAAGTTCCACCGCGACCTACTGAGGTTTAGCCTGCTCTCCGAGCCGCTCGAAAAGAAGACAGCTGCGGTTAAGGCAAGGCGCTGAGGGACACCGTGTTGGCCCCCCAGGCGTAGGGCAAAAAGGCCCAGAAACAAAGCAACCAGCCCCAACCACAAGTACCGTCTGCTGTCTGCTGCTACTCCAACACCCCGATCTCCGCGCAGGCGCACGACGCCCGGCAGTGCGACGCCGCCGCCGGAAGTGTCTCTCAGCGCCCCGGATGCGCCTGGGCGGCGGTGGTTGCCAGGGCGACAGGCGCTTCCAAGAGCTTCTGGTACTCGCGACTGGAGACTTAGAAAAAGGTTTCCTTTGGCGGGCCTGGACGGCTGGGGTCGTCTTCTCGGGGTTCCCAGGATGTTCTTTTACCTGAGCAAGAAAGTGAGTTTTCCCGCTGACGCCCTAGCTCCTCCTCTGTTCTCGCGTCCTGCAGGAGAATCCCGCATCCTGTCCCGCATCCTTCGCCTTCCCACCTCGCACCTTCCTGCCTCGTCCAGCCTCGGACCTCCTCCTTCGGGTCCCGAGTCCCAGATAATTCTCGGCGGAGCCAACAGCCCTTTCGCACGACTCTCTCCCATTCCTGCCCCCTGCCTGGGTCTTTTTGGGGACCTCAGCAGGACAGATCACTGCGTGCTTCCCTACCGCTCCTTCTCCACCTGTTGATCCAGGTGACTTCAATTCACTGGATCGTCATGGGCTGGCGGGCGAGAGAAAAGTAATAACAAAAGGGTATCCTAAGTGTTATGTGTGGAAAGGGAATATGGATCAATGGTATGGATTTATACCTCTTTTCCCCGTTTCCTTCCTTTAAAATTTCTCAGGTGACTCTCCCATTGGGTTCCTCTGCAGTCAGTGCCCTTCTTGTGTGCTCCCCTCTCCCCCCGCCGTCCTTTCGAAAATGGTAGGGCGCGGGGCAGTTCAGGGGATCGTGCCATGCCCATTTTCCTAACAGTACACTCTCTGCAAGGCTGACCATTTTTTATTTCTTGGGGGGACTTCTTCAGCCTGCATCCGTAACTCACTTTCCAGCTCCTCCATGAAAAGCTGTGAGAGTGGCTGTGGTTGTTTTTCAGGTCGCCATTCCCGATAACGTAAAGCTGAAATGTGTATCTTGGAACAAGGACCAAGGATTCATAGCATGTGGTGGTGAAGACGGATTACTGAAAGTTTTGAAATTAGAGACACAGACAGGTAAATGAAAGCAAGCCCAAGTGTTTGAACTAGATGGAAAATTGCCTAGTATCATTTGTTCGGTGAGATTTGCTCTTGGTATTTGTCACTATGCAGTTCTAATTCTTTTAAAATGAAAAACAAACAAGACTCCAAACATTCAGTGCTGTTTTTATAGAGTATTTTTGCAGTAAAGTTCAGAGAACATCGAATGTAAATATCAGATGGCTTTTACTCAAGTTATTGATGGAAAATGAAAAAGAATGAAGAATGCAAACTAAGTCACTACATTGCCTTGTGCTATGTCTATCTATTCTGCTCTATTATTTAGAGTTTAAGAAAAATGACAATTTGAGTTTTAATAAGGTCACAAAATCTCACATTTTGTCACATTTGCAGGCTGGTGTCATCTTTTCTGCTTATCAGATATGTTAATAATCATTCACCTAGTTCCGGAGAACAGAAAATGAGATGTTTAAAAACATTTTTGTTTATAAGTTCCTTGTGTTTACAGCTTGATTTGTCTTTTTTTAGTTCTCTGGAATCATAGCAGCTTCACATTTCTTTAGCATCCCTAGTGTTGCTGTAGAATGGAGAGCTAGACAGTCCCCCAATCTAAGTTGGAGATGTAGGTAAGGTGATTGGAGTTGGAACCTCAGCTCTGCCATACTGAAAGAATTTCAGCAAGTTGGTGTTTATCTTTGGGCTTTAGTTCACTCTTCTGTAAGATAAAGGGCTGAAGCAAATTACATTTTGGATTCAGAGCTTCTACACTTGACCCGTGGGGTCTTTGCACTTGGTATTTCTGAGTCTGGACTCCTCCTCCTCCTTTCTCCAGAAAGCCTTCCCTGGCTCTCCCTTCCTCCAATCTAAATCAGTCTCCCTCTGTTACTGTCTCTTCTTATGGCTTTATTTTCTCAATTTATGATTTTACATATATGCATATATATTTATGTGGGTGGGTGAGTGTGTGTTTAATATCTGTCCCTTCAGTAGACTACAAACTCTCTTAGGGGAGAGGCCTTAACTATTTTATCATTTTATATTCGGAAGCTTCCACAGTGCGTAACACAATGTAGACATTCATTGAATGAATAAATGAATGAATGAATGAATGCATATAAGATTCTGCAAAATGTAGTAAAAACCAGTTTCCAAAGTCTTTACTTTCTGAGCCCTCTTATGCTTTAGAGCTTTCATTCTATATATCGTAAATATTTCTGTTTGTGATCTTCTGGGAAGGAATAGCAGTAATAATAATTACCAGTATATTTCATATACTGGGTAAACAATGTTTTTTTTTTTCAACGTTTATTTATTTTTTTTGGGACAGAGAGAGACAGAGCATGAACGGGGGAGGGGCAGAGAGAGAGGGAGACACAGAATCGGAAACAGGCTCCAGGCTCTGCGCCATCAGCCCAGAGCCTGACGCGGGGCTCGAACTCACGGACCGCGAGATCGTGACCTGGCTGAAGTCGGACGCTTAACCGACTGCGCCACCCAGGCGCCCCTAAACAATGTTTTTAAAATACATTTTGCTTTATTTTGTCAGAATAATATCTCTGCAAGGGGGTATATATTACTGTCCATGTTTCCACCATGAGAAAAATAGATCAGAATGAGGCATTCTTAAAAAATTTTTTCTAAAATCATCCAGGAAGAAATGTCAAAGTCATATAATCTATTACTTTAATGTATTTGCCATGATGTCTTTTTTCCTAGATGATGCAAAATTGAGAGGTCTTGCAGTCCCTAGTAACCTTTCTATGAATCAGAATCTAGAAGGTCATAGTGGTGAGTCATGTAATTTTTAAAATCCTATTTGAATGGTCTTATTTTTAGACATTGAGAAACCATCTACTTATTGCAGAAATGATATCATTTTTTATAATGATAATATTTAAAGTAATCATTTCTGTTTAGCCATAGTTAATTGAGCTTAGAGTCCTTCAACAACTTTTACATGATCAAACAACATCTTCAATAAATCTAAAACTGAGTAGTTCTTTTATATATTAAAAGATACTGCTGTCTATGGGTAGGACATAATCCTTTTTTAGAATCTATCCCATGTTTCCAGATTAAAGTAGACTAAAGAGACACGACAACTGAATGTATTCTATGATCCTAGATCTTGGAATGAGAAAAACAAGTATCTATAAAGGACAATATTTGGACAGTTGATAAAATTTGAATGTAGACCAGGGTTAGGTAATATTATATCAGTGTTAAATTTCCTAATTTGTAATATGGTTATGAAAGAGAATGTCTTCTTATGAAATATACACTAAAGCATTTAGAGATTAAAAAAACTAAAAGAATCAGTTGTTCATATAACCCAGAGGCTTAAGATATGTTCAAGAGTGTGTTACTAATAGAATGGAAAACAAGAGGGGGAAAGAAGAGATATTACGGCATATATCAACCACAGACAACCTCTACACCCCTGGAAAGAAACCCCAAGTTCGTAGTATATTGTCCTTTGGGAATTATAATCCTTGGGAATCAGGCCAGTTGGGTAAATCTTACTTATATTTGTTTCTGTCATCAGATATATGGCAGCTTTTGCATTTGACCATAATAGGTGCCTTTGCTGGCCTGAAATAGGAATAAACATGAAAATTAGTATCACACATTGTTGTAGAAAATGAGTGATAATAGTGACTGCATCCTGTGAATATTTTGGAATGATATTAAATCCTGTTTAATTGCACAGGAGCCATATTGATTTTAACATGCTGTTGGTGTTTATTATAAAAATACAAATTTGAAATTGTAGCCTTTTTTTAGTTTCTGAATTGTTTTATGGTTTTTTAGGTTCGGTTCAAGTTGTAACATGGAATGAACAATATCAGAAGTTGACTACCAGTGATCAAAATGGGCTTATCATTGTTTGGATGTTATATAAAGGTACACTAGGAGAGTTTATGTAATCTTTCACAGATTAGAGTCCGGATTACAGTATTTGTATGGGGAAACAATATATTTGAAATAGACTCCTTTTAACCAGCAGCAGGAATTCATCCTGACCTCACAGGGGTAATATTTCTGGATTTATTGCTGCCTACTTTTCCTTTTAACTTTGTTTTTTTTTTTTTTGTTTTTTTGTTTTTTTTTTTTTTTTTGAGCTGTGGCCTTGCATGAAGAAAGTGAATTAGATGACTGTTGGTTATCTCCACAATGAATTTACGCCCTTAGCTGGATAGTTTCTACTTGAGATCTTTTTTTGCCAGGTTTCCGATAAGAATTATTTTCTGTGTGATCAGTGGCTAGAGTTGGTCCAGTACATAAAAACATTAAGAAGTCAGAGGCAATAATTCATTCCCCTTATTGAGCCATTTAGCATCCTTTCTTTCATGGATATAGATTTTATCTCTGCTCTACTGGCTCATGATTTGTGCCTTTTGCCTACAAGACAGAGCGAGAGAAGGATTAATTTAGGCACATCACTATTATCAGAAAAATAACTCACAATACATGATCTCTTGGGGTCTCATATTTAAATGAGAAGAGTACCTTAGTTCATGTGTGGTGTTTTGAAAACATTCAGGGTATACCATTTAAAAATTCTTAATTGAAAAATTTGGTACCTGAGTTTTATTTATGTTTCTCAAGGTTTATGTGTGTATGTGTGTGTGTAGGGATGGAAGGTGAGAGTATAGGAGATGAAGATAAGCTGTATTTTTCCTCTGTGGGTCTTCTCAGGTTCTGAGTTCAGACTCTGATAATGTCTGCTCGACTAGTTCTTCCAAATTACGTGGTTATTTGCTTGGCTGCAGGCCAGAGTTCTGATACCAAAATGGCCTTGTGTTTTGCCTCACATTTGGTTGTACCTTGAGACCTGTCACCCCAGCCCTGTGTACATGAATGTTTTGTCTTTCAGCATTAGTGATGTGAAATCACTAAAGTGATTTGAACTGTTGAAAATTTTTGTCAAGCAGGCTTAGAGTTTTTACCTAATATGCTGATATTCAATATACTTGTAATTAATCACTGGAGAGTTTATGCATACATATAAAATTATTGTGGTTATTTTGTTTTTTTCTTGGTTATCATCTGAAGATTTTCTTTTTTTTTTTTTTTAAATTTTTTTTTTTCAACGTTTTATTTATTTTTGGGACAGAGAGAGACAGAGCATGAACGGGGGAGGGGCAGAGAGAGAGGGAGACACAGAATCGGAAACAGGCTCCAGGCTCTGAGCCATCAGCCCAGAGCCCGACGCGGGGCTCGAACTCACGGACCGCGAGATCGTGACCTGGCTGAAGTCGGACGCTTAACCGACTGTGCCACCCAGGCGCCCCTCATCTGAAGATTTTCAAGTGGGAAAAGTTAGGCTTTGAGAAAAGTCAGTTGTTTTGGCCCTTCAAAAGCAAATAAAGTTTTATTTATTTAAAAAAATTTTGTTTAATGTTTATTTATTTTTGAGAGAGAGACAGAGCATGAGCAGGGGAGGGGAAGAGAGAGAGGGAGACACAGAATCTGAAGCAGGCTCCAGGCTCTGAGCTGCCAGCACAGAGCCTGATGCGGGTCTCGAACCTGCGAACCGTGAGATCATGACCCGAGCCGAAGTCGGACGGTCAGCTGACTGAGCCACCCAGGCGCCCCGAGTTTTATTTTTTAATGGACAGAAAGGAAGAAAGAGAGAAAAGATGGGCATTTATTGTGTTTTCTGTGATAATCTTTGAAGCAATTGTTGGTCAAGGCCTCAGCTAATTTTTTTTTGTTTGTTTATGTTGGATTTGAAGGTTTTATTGTTTAACGTCTCATGTTGTAGAAAATTTTGCACTCATTTATCCCACAGTGCATTTTGTGGAATGTTTTCAACTCTAATGTGAAAGTTTTGACTTGTAATTTTTGTGTGTGTGTGTGTGTGCAAATAGGCTCTTGGTACGAGGAGATGATCAACAACAGAAATAAATCAGTGGTTCGAAGTATGAGCTGGAATGCTGACGGACAGAAGATCTGCATTGTGTATGAAGACGGGGCTGTGATAGTTGGTTCGGTGGATGGTAATACATTGTTGCACACAGAACTGAGATCAGGATTTGGCTGGCATTTTTATCTTTAGAGGTTTAATTAATTATCATATGTTAGTCTGCTGACAGAAAAACACAGAGAAAATGGTTGATATACAATTTAATAACATTCAAGAAACATTTACTTTTAAGTATACTCAAGTAAAAAAACCCGTTTTTTATTTTATTTTTATTATTTTTTTAATGTTTTATTTGTTTATTTTGAGAGAGAGAATGCATGCACGCTGGGAGTGGGGCAGAAAGAGATGGAGGGAGAGAATCCTAAGTAGGCTCGTGCTGTCTGCACAGGGCCTGATGCAGGGGTGGGGGGTGCCGCTTGATCTCCTGCACTGTGAGATCATGACCTGAGTCGAAATTAAGAGTTGGATGCTGGGGTACCTGTGTGACTCAGTCCGTTAATAATGGTCCGGCTTTGGTTCAGGTCATGATCTCATGGTTTGTGGGTTTGAGCCCCGCGTCGGGCTGTTTGCTGACAGCTCAGAGACTGGAGCCTGCTTCAGATTCTGTGTCTCCCTCTTTTTCTGCCCCTCCCTTGCTCGCACTGTGTCTATCTCTCTCAAAAATAAATAAACATTAAAAAACAATTAAAAAAAAAAGTTGGATGTTTAGCTGACTGAGCCACCCAGGTGTTCCAAGTAAAAATTCTGTTTTTAAAAAATTTCCTACAGTGACACAGAAAAAAGGTAAATTAATTTTTCAGGATTATTTTAAATATGTCTGCCTAATTATGTAACTTATTTTGTATGTATTAGACTGTATTATAAATACATAGATTTACTTTCAAGTATATAGAGATATAACAATCTATGGTTATTTTGAAAAAATTGAACTGTTAAGTATAATTGACATATAACATTAGTTTTAGGTGTACAGCATAATCATTTGATATTTTTATATGTCACGAAATGATCATCTGGTCATTTTTTTTTTTTAATTTTTTTTAACGTTTATTTATTTTTGAGACAGAGACAGAGCATGAACAGGGGAAGGGCAGAGAGAGAGGGAGACACAGAATCTGAAATGGGCTCCAGGCTCTGAGATGTCAGCACAGAGCCCGATGCGGGGCTCGAACCCACGGACCGTGAGATCATGACCTGAGCCGAAGTCGGATGCTTAACCGGCGCCCCTCATCTGGTCATTTTTTAATAGAACTGAATCTGTTATTGCTACATGTGTTTTGTAGCTTTAAAACTTAGGTCTTTCAAATTTTAATTCATAGCTAACACTGGGGCTTCTGAGGGTCTGTACCTTTGTTTTAATGTGAAATTTTCTCTATAGAGAAATAATTTATTTCAAAATGATTTTCATTTTTCCATTTTTTTTTTTTTTTTTTCTGTTGTAACTTCATTTATTCCCCAAATGTTTCTGAGAATTCATAAAGTGACAGCTGTAGTTCTAGGCACTAGGTATGATAAAAAGTATTTCAGATCTAGAGCAGGAGAGGTGGATTAGTAACCAAGCAGTTACAGTGCCTTGTGATAAGTGCTGAGATGGGAAAATACAGCAAACATGTAGTAGAAGTATCTAACCCAGACTTGGAGGGATCAGGGAAGGCATCCTGGAGGAAGTGATGTCTGCTGAGGCATTAGCTACCAGGAATGTGGGTTTGTAGAATGTCCTAGGCCTAAGGAATAGCACTTGAGGAGGTCCACAGGGGTTGAACTTAGCCATGTTTAGGGTATTGAAAAAAATTTGAGAGTCAGTGTACTATAATACTAAAAGGAAAAGAGTTGTATGTGATGAAATTAGAGACATTAGTAAAGACAGATCATGTAGATCGTAAGTTATCTAAGAAGTTTGAACTTTAAGGGCACAATGAAAGGTTTTAAGAATGGGAGCAGGGTGATCAGGTTTGTTCTTTGGAAGCATCTCTGTGATTGCAGAGGAAGGAAAGAAAGATGGGGCAGGTGTACCACTTAGGAAATTGATATGGTAATTCAGGTGAGAGGTGATGGTGGATGGTAGCTGAACCAGGGAAATGACAAAGAGGATGGAAGTAAGTGGACATATGCTAGAGATATTTAGGAGGTAAAATAGATGGGGTCTCATTATTGATGAGTTTGGGGCTGAGGGGATGGAAGTGTTCAGAGGAATAGCCAGGTTTTTAACTTTGACAGCTGGGTGGATGGTGATGCCATTGAAATAAAGGATGTGGGAGAAAGACTGGTTTTGAAGGAAGATTTCAGTTATGGACATGTTGACTTTGTTATGCTGTAGGACAGCCAAGTAGTTAGATATATACATTTGTGGCTCAGAAACATCTGGAGTGGAGTCATAATTTTGGGAATCACCAGCATGTAGATGGTAATTTAAACCATTGGAATAGCTGGAAAACTGGGCCATCTTGGAATAAGAACCTGCAACATTTAATGGGTTGGCAGAAGAGAATTCTGTAAAGCATACTGAATTACAAGCATTGGAGATAAAGGAGTAAACAGATTCACAGAAACCAAGAAGGAAGGAAGGGGTGGTTAAAAAAAAAAACGAAAAGAAAAGAAGAGAAAAGAGAAGGAAAAAAAAGAAAAGAAAAAAAAGCAACAGGTCATTAACAACCTCACGAAGGCCATTTCAGTGCAGGTGTGGGGCAGAAGCCAGATCAGGTTGGACTGAGGGTTGAATGGGAGGGGAGGAAGTGATGACTGCCTGCATAAGCTCTTTTAAGAAGTGAGGATGGTAGAGGAATGGTGGAAATAGGATGGTGACTAGAGGGGACCTTGGGGTAGAGGGAGGTGTTCTTTGTTTTGTTTGTTTTTATTTGAGGTGCTGGTTTTCAAGGATGGATCTGAGTATGTTTAAATACTTGTAAGAAAGGGCTTAGAAGAGTTTAAAGAGAAAGAGAAAATGTGCATAATCAGTAGAGGGAGATCTTTGCAAAGCTGGGAAGGGCTTAGACCAAAAAATAGGTGGAGGGATTAGCCCTAGATGGGTGTCTGGTTGGGGACAAAACTCTTTCCTTTGTAATGGGGGGGCTAAGCAGAAAGGGTCGGTGTGGATTCACTTAATGTTCTGAATGTTTGAAAGTGGGAATGAGGGATTTCTTCTTTGAAAGCGTTTATTTAATTTTACAAAGTTGAAGATGAATTTATCTGCTAATTGGGAGTGAGGTCTTGGGTCAGAGTTTTGAAGAGAAGGGAGAAAGTTGGAAACAGCTGCTATTGCAAATATTTAGTAGGGTGTTTGGCACATAGTAAGTGCTCAGCAGATATTTATTGACTGAATAAATTGAACAAACACATGGTTCTGTGAAGAATGTGAGAGCTCTTTAGAGAAACACAGTTTTAGAGCAGTTGTTGGAGAATCGTGACCTTGAAATTTTAATGAAATAATTTTGTTTTATGTTTTACTTTAGGGAATCGCATTTGGGGAAAAGACTTGAAGGGTGTACAGTTATGCCATGTAGCATGGTCTGCAGATAGTAAAATCCTACTTTTTGGAATGACAAGTGGAGAAATACACATTTATGATAATCAAGGGAATTTTATAGTAAGTATATATATATTCGTAGTTTTAGTTACCCAACTTTATATGGTTATGTTATATATGTATATGTACATTTATTTATTATGATGGTTTGTGTAATCAAGAAAGTTTTCAATTCATGTTTTTTCCCAATTATTTAGATTTTTTTTAATTAAAAAAATACTGGGTCTCTTCAAGGTAAATTAATGCTTTTAGTTCTGAATTCCTGGTAACTGGGAAGGACAAGATTTCAGTGTATTGAAGCTGAGGGATAATGAGTCAGATGATATGCAATTTAATCTTTGTGTCATCGTCGTCGTCTTCTTCTTCTTCTTCTTCTTCTTCTTCTTCTTCTTTTTAAAGTTTATTTATTTATTTTGAGAGAGAACACAAGCAGGGGAGGGGCAGAGAGAGAGGGAGACAGGGAATCCCAAGCAGGCTCTGTGCTGTCAATGCAGAGCCAGACGCAGGGCTCCAACCCATGAACCGTGAGATCATGGCCTAAGCCAAAATCAAGAATCGAATGCTGAACTGACAGAGCCACGCAGGCACCCCAAATCTTTGTGTCTTCTGATAGCAGAAGCCAAAGTTTATATGAGATACCAATGCTATATTTTTTTTTCCAATGATATTTTTATAGCAAGTTACTCAAGATTGTAAAAGGAATGGAAGACTTAAACAGTAAGGGATAAGAGTCAGGTCCTGGAAAGAAGGCAAAATAGAATAGGTTCAGATAGCATGATCTCAAGGAAAACTCTAGCTTTGTGAGACTGAACTATGTCAGATCTCTGATCTTACTTATGGGGCAGTTTTGTTTGTAGTGAGGTTGAGGGCATTATACAAATGCACTTAACCGGTGTAAGTGATAATAGCCGACTTCTCCTTGACACCGCTGTTCTTGAGGTTCTTTCATTTACCTCTTGTCATTTGAGTCTCATAAATTCTCTGTGAGGTTTTTTTTTTTTAATCCCTATTTTGCAAATAAAGAAAACTGAAACTCTGCTTGAAGTGGTTTGTCCAGGGCTGGTAAATCAGTAAGTGATGGAACTTGCATCTGAAACCAGATTTTTAAATCTCATTTTCAGTGTTCTTTCTATAATAGTCTATACGGATCTGTTTTAAAATATGAAGTATTAACTGATTTTGTTTAGATGAAAATGAAACTGAACTGTTTGGTGAACGTCACCGGAGCAATCAGTATTGCTGGAATTCACTGGTACCATGGCCAAGAAGGCTACGTGGAGCCAGACTGCCCCTGCCTTGCTATTTGTTTTGACAATGGGAGGTGCCAAATCATGAGACATGAGAACGACCAGAGTATGTCATTTTTCTTTCTCTCTTTCTTTTTTAATGTGGAGAATTAAAAAAAATATTTTAAAATTGTTCTTTATAAAGTTCTTGAGGCTAAGTATTTTACCACAGTTACTTCATTTTTCTTTTTGAGTAGATCCCGTTTTAATTGATACTGGCATGTTTGTAGTAAGTATCCAGTGGAACCACACTGGCAGCGTGTTGGCTGTGGCAGGCTCCCAGAAGGTTGTCACTCAGGATAAAGATGTAAACACTGTGCAGTTTTACACTCCATTTGGTGAGGTAAATGTCTTTTTTTCTTTCCATTTAAATATGTAGTGAGTGTGGTAGGGTAAAAAAGAATGGGGGAAAAGGTATAAACTTGTCACATTGTTGAAAAGGGACCTTTTGAGTAAAAATGATGAAAAATATCAGGCATCTTGCTTTAAATAATATTCTCACTTATAAGTCTTAATAGTTGTATTTTATCATGGAATTTAGTTTATACTCTGAACATTTAGAAAATCAGCTGTTTCACATAAGAAATCACTATGCAGTACCTATTTAGGGTATTTTTTCTATGATCTGAATGCGTATCTCTTTTCCCAGCTGTTTTCTTGAGTTGTTTTTAATGTGACTTAATTGTTTCAGATTAATATTTTGGATTTTTAATGTGACGTATTAAAACATACATAGATATCAAACACCCATAACTGTCTCTCCTTACCACGAACTTCTAACAGTTTTAATTTGTGCAGTAATCAACTATTTTAAGAAAATCTATCTTGGGGTGCCTGGGTGGCTCAGTCGGTTGAGCGTCCAACTTCAGCTTGGGTCATGATCTCATGGCTGGTGAGTTCGAGCCCCACGTCAGGCGCTGTGCTGACAGCTCAGAGCCTAGAGCCTGCTTTGGATTCTGTGTCTCCCTCTCTCTCTGCCCCTAACCCACTTGCATTCTGTCTCTGTCTCTCTCAAAAATAAATAAACATTAAAAAAAAATTTAAGAAAATCTATTTTAATAACTAATCTTAGGTGACGCTACATTAAAATACAAGCATTGTTTTCATAAATGCATGGGTTATCCTTCTCAATAGTGTTACTAATAAATTTTAATTTTTAAGGAGAATTTTGTTGAAGTCATAATGGAAAATATCAAAAGGAGAATTAATATATTGTAAATTTTTTTTTAATGTTTTATTTATTTTTGAGACAGAGACAGAGCATGAGCAGGAGAGGGGCAGAGAGAGAGGGAGACACAGAATCCGAAGCAGGCTCCAGGCTCTGAGCTGTCAGCACAGAGCCCAACGCGGGGCTTGAACTCACCAACCGCGAGATCCTGACCTGAGCCAAAGTCAGACGCCTAACTGACTGAGCCACCCAGGCTCCCCAATATATTGCGAATTTGGAAGAATTTAGAAAATGAAAACTTAATATTAACTAAGCTTAATAACTTTATACTTGTTTTATTTTCTAACTCTAGGTTCCATTTAGTCCCTGTTGGATTTTATAAATTCACCGTAGATTTCAATAATATGTGTTTTTGTTGTACAAAAGCATTCCTCAGTTGTTTTAATATTTTTATGTAATATTTAAAAATATATTTTAATAATTTCTGTGAAAGAAAAAAATGGTGTCAGCTCATGCTTTCGTATCAGTATCTCAAAATATGCAGTAGAGTGTGATGTAGAGAGTAGGTACTCTCCGTACGTTGCTGCCTGATAATATTTCTGGTAGATGTTAAAAGGTAAGGAAAACAGAAGTATAGTTCTCAAGGTTCCTAACTATTAAAAATCTGAATTCCAGTTATTTCAATGGTTGCAGCCTCCTTTTTAATTGATGTTCTTTATTGGTTGTTTTTGTCGCATTGGCTTATTGTTATATTGTTTCATCTGCTTATTTTTGTTAGCTCGGCCTTCTCTAAGTAGAAAAACATGGATCCTAAGGCCTGTTTGTTTTACCTTGCAAAACAGTGTGCTATGTGTTAATGTGAAAAGTGTAAGTTGGTTTGGTATGGTTGTAATTAAAAGTATCTAGCGTAGTTCCTCGAGGTATATTAGTCACTTAGTATTTTTTTGAATGAGTGAATATATGGGGGACTTATTGTGGATTTATGTTATGAAGATAACTTGGAAGGAGGTTATCTAAAGACTTAAACTTAAGGAAACTTCAAGAAGCAATTTGCTTTTGATCCTGAAGGCCACAGTCTTCTGGTTTTTATACTGTGGTCTCAGCCGTGGAAAGGGCTAATAGAGCATGCGATTTGTAGTCAGGTTGGCCTGGCTTTGGCTTTGAATTCCATTTCCACAGTGTAGTTTTACTTAGCGAACTTATTTAACCTCTGAGACTCAATTTACTTATGTTCTGAAATAAAGGTAATACTTCATGGCACTGTTGCAAAAATTAAAGGAGGTAACAACGAGAAAATGCCTAGCACTGTGCTTACTACAAGTCAGCTTATCTCTCCTTGCTGCTGCCATCACCTGGCTGGTTTGCAGAGTGGGGAGATAGCCTTATTCTTCCAGCGCAGGCTGTCAGTACAAAGAGTGCTGTCATGAGAGCCTGCTTGCTCCCTTTGGTTTCCTACAGGCAGCAGGACAGATAGAGTGGAGCTTTCTAGGTTAAAACATCTTTACCCTTATCCGTTTTCCTGACAAAATGGAGTTTAATACATTAAATTTGACTTTCGAGCATATCTGCTTAAGAACAAAGGATATTGTTGGGGCACCCTGGGTGACTCAGTTGGTTAAGCGTCCGGCTTCAGCTTGGGTCATAATCTCACAGTTCGTGAGTTTTAGCCCTGCATCGGGCTCTGTGCTGACAGCTCAGAGCCTGGAGCCTGCCTCACATTCTGTGTCTCCTTCTTTCTCTGCCCCTCCCCTGCTTATGCTCTGTCTCTCTCTCAAAAATAAATAAACATTAAGAAAAATTTTTTTTAAAAAAAGAACAGAGGATACCGGTACAACTTATTAAAATTCTTAGGTCTGTCAAAAAAGCATAGATTTAAAATATTTTCTTTTTTTATGACCACCTGAAAATGTCTTTGTATTCATTTATTCACTGTTAACTTAGCCATAAAATGTGCTATGTTAAATTGAAAACTGTAAGTTGGTTTGGTATAGTTGTAATTAAAAGTATCAAGCATGTTGTCATATTTGAAGACATTAATTTGGATGCATGATACATTTATTTACTTAAGAGATATTTATTGAGTACCTGTTTACCAACCAGTCCATTAAGGGATAGGGACATAGATATAAGCATGATGAAGTTAGGGCTCTCAGGTTGCTCACTATCTGAATTCTCTGGACCCACAGAAGGAGGGAGAAGGCAGGAAGCAGTACTAAAGTTGTGTCTTGGAGGATGGAGAGCGGTGCTGCAGTAGGGCAAGGGAGAGTAAGGATGGGAGAGGAAAGGGAGATTTCAGGCAGAAGAGATATTATCTGGGCCAAAGGTCTGGAGGCATAGTGGTCCTCTCATGAGTGAGAACACAAGCATTATGGCCAGATAGTGGGGTACTGAACCCAAGAGTATGGTTTTGGGCCAGATGGGAAGAGGCATCGCATACTCTGCTAAAGAATGTGATGGTGGGGAGCTATTGATTTTTAAAAATTATTAAACATTTTTTAAAGCAGGGTAGGACATGATTGGATTTGTGTCCCAGAAAGGTAATTATGACAGTAAAATGAAGAATTGAATTTGGGGGATGGAGGCTGGGAATGAGGAAAGAGGTGAAAGGTAAAAATTGCAGTTCGACCGTTACCATCATTGACTCAGGAAAAGAGGCCGTGGCAGTGGAGGATGGATGTGAGCGGAAGCGATGGGACTACTGACCCACTGGCTGTGGGGGGTGAAAGAGAGGCCAGCCTTAAGCATTGTGTTTACTGACACAATTCATTGATTCCAAGAAGCACAGGT